GGCGAGTTCGCCGCGAACCTCCGTGCAGGTCGCCGCCGCCCCTCCCTCTCTCTCTCTCTATCTATCTATCTATCTATCTATCTGCGAAAGCGGGAAGATTCATTCCCGCTTTGCGTTTCTGAAGCCGTTCGGGAAACACAAAGCGGGAATGAACCCATTCGTTTTTCTTATTTCTTTTTTTTTTTTCATTTTTTTTTTTCCCGTTGTTTTTGTGCCTTTCACTCCAACATTCGGGATGCCTGCGCCTGGTAGTTCGAGACTCAGCACGGATCGGCGTACTGGTTGGCCGAGGCTCGGACTTGATAGCTGGGCCAGGTACTGGTGGTTTAATTATTGTTAAATGTCCTTCCACGTAGGTGCTCAAAAGGCGTGGAGCGCTGGAACAATACATAGTAGATTAGAATGGCCGCTGCGCAAGGTGGCATGCGTAAATTCAGAAATGGTGCACCTGTTTTTAGCTGTAGGTAAACAGCGGAGTGCGGCTTGATCCAGTTAGAGCTATTACCAATTTCATGGGAGGGCTTCTTTTTTCTACAGTAGGCCCAAGTTTTCTGTGATGGCCTAAGTAGGCCCGAAATGTCCCTTTGCGAGGTTGCTAGAAACTGTTATGCTACATGGCCTTGCTACAGTCTTCACCCGCATCTTACGGTCATTATACGGGCCGAAATACACCAACAATGACTGTACATTGTATTCCGTGAAGACGGCAGGTTGGGCAGGCTGGAATGTAGTGGCTGTTGCTATATAGGTGAGATGCCTGACCACACTGAAATGCAGATACACAACAACTACGCCTGCAGATTGCTGTCAGTGGTGCTTGCTCCTGTAAGACCACCTTGAATTGCAATTGAAGAAGTGCTTGGAGCACATTTTAGTGGACATGCTGCAATATTCCTTGTTTTGTTTGCTTTCATGTTTGTAATGTGCCACACTGGTACTATATGATGCTGTGTCAAAATCACCTCCCTTCTTGCGGTCCTGTCTGTGCAAGGCATGGTTTGTTCAACCTTTTTTTTGTTTTTTTTTCCAAGTTTATTCAACTTTATTGATTTGCTAGCAAATGAATGTGGTTTGATGTGTTCAGGTGAACAGAGAGATGGAAGGTATTATTGATACTCTGCGAAAGAATGCGGAGAAGGCGGAGGAAGATGCTGACAAAGACAATGAGGAGGATGGAGAGGATGAGAGCATGAGTGAGGGCGAGGGCGATGAGAATGACGACGAGGAAGAGCGGGAGGAGGAGGAGGAGGCTGATGCTGGCAGCAAGAGAAAAAGGCAAGAGAACTCATCGTCGGATCTTGCAGAAGGCGATAGCTTCTTGTCAAAGAGAGCAAAGCAAGTGGATGGTGGTGGTCTCTCGACAGCAAAAGCAAAGCAAATTGACGGTGGCCGTTTCGCACCGGGAAAGGCAAAACAAATGGATGGTAATAATCATCATGTAGTAATAGAGGTCCCTGAAGACAGCGGTGAGGACCCCTCCTCTTGTAATGGCACACCTTTGCACTGTATGAGCTTAGTGCTTGCCGACGATTGCAATGCGGCACACCGAGAGGCAAGTGAAGACCATATGAGAAGTTGGAATGAAATGCATCCTCAGAGAAAAGCGAAGTTGCAGCGCGTTCTCAAAAGTGGGCCCTACCAGCGTCTCTTAGCAGCCTACCCTGCTTTGGATCCTGAGCTTCTGCGCAACATGCTGGTAAGCGAACATTTTTTTTACCCCTTTTTTTCCTTGAAAAGAGGGTAACGGCGATATTTTTTTTCACCCCTTTTTTTCTTTAAGAGAGGGTAGCACCTACGTTTTTGAACCCTGAAGGTTTTGAACTCCTTTGTGATCGGATAGTCACCGAGTGTATACCATCCAGCCATCAAGCAGATAAAGTTGCCCTCACGAGCTTGTGTGGGAGTGCCATTCCCATTGCGGTAAAGCTCTCGTAGAGTAAGTTGCCCTCGTGAGCTTGTGTGGGAGTGCCGTTCCCATTGCGGCAATACTCTCGTTGGCAAGCGATACTGAGGTCCTTGTTCACTCTTCCATGCTTTTATATATTGGAAACAGGGTTGGGTTCCTTCTTCCCTGCTGATGCGTGCGGTGCACTGTCGACTTCTGTCCTTGGAAGCATCAGTTGGGCCCTCTTGTTCCACCGGTAAGTCGAAAGATTACATATAACTACCACTGCTATCCTCATCTCCTTGATGGCAGACGGCTCTAGAAGATACTGGTGGTGTCATCACATGACTGTCTTCCTGCTGATTACTCTATGTTGCAGGAGGATGCATTTCCAGGAGAGTTAAGGGCACGACAATAGTGGATGTTGTCTGGAGGAGGTGGGCAGGTAGTGAAACCGTCTTCACCCGCCTGGTCATTATCGCTGCATCTAGTCTGAAAGTTACACCAAGTACAGCTATGATGACAGGGCGTTCTATTCAGGTGAAGATGGTAGTCTTGTAGAGAAGTTTGCATGGAGGGCCAAGATATGTCTCACAGTACTGCTGACGCCGGGAATCCAACCAAAGAGGTTACGGGCGCCACCCATTCATCACCACTATGTCCCTCGCAACCAGAGTACTGCTGACGACGGGAATCCAACCAAAGATGTTACTCTCTCTCTCGGTCTCTCTCTCTCTCTCTCTCTCTCTCTCTCTCTCTCTCTCTCTCTCTCTCTCTCTCTCNCACACACACACACACACACACACACACACACACACACACACACACACACACACACACACACACACGACATGCGCAGAGCCTACTGTGGGTGAGAGGGACATAATAGTGAGCGGGCCTGATGGAGGTGACGATGGCAACAATGGCGACTGGAGGCAATGGCTTACCTGGGTGTGAACTTTGGAAGTGAGTCGTTTGAATTTGAACACCTCAACCTGGCCAGGATCTTGGGGCCCAATCTGGGCTGCTGATGATAGAAGATCAGCGACCCAGAGCGGGTCAAAAAAAAAATAGGTGTAACGGTGTGAAAGGCAGGCGCAAAAAAAAAAGGGACCTCTCTTCACACGCAGGAGGTCCGGTAACATGTCACTTAGGGCCAAAATTGCAGTCCGAAAATATGCTGGGCACACCCGTGGCCCAACCAGGTGTGCCACCCGGACGGGCCACCTGCGAGGCCACCCTGGTGATCCCCTGGGACCTCGGCCGCCTGGGAAATAGCTTAGAAAGAAAACCAAAAGTAAGGAAAGCGCAGAAAGAACTGGATGAAAAGCCAAAACAAGGGTTTCAGTGTGCTTCATGTTGTTTGCTATGGAGGTAAAGCTGTTTCAACTTTGTATCTACTCCATCTGGATGGAAAAGGGGTTGCTGCAGTGACAGCTTACAACACACACATGCAACTTTCTGTGGAGTTGTGTTTCTCGAACATCGCAGCACACAGAGCATTACAAGTATTCAAACATTGCAATCGCTTGAGATTGTTCTACGTAAACTCCATGATTAAAACCGCCACTCCATCCGGACCTATTTCCAAAAAGTTGCATTTCCCCGAGCCTAAGATGATGTACCGTGTCGCTCTGAGGAAAAGTAGTCATGGGCACTGTAGGTTTTGGCCCGGTACGGGTAGACAAAAAAAATGAACTGTGAAGGGGCCCCACTGAAGTGGTGGCTTAAGATATCCTATGTAACTCGACAGAAGGTTGTAAGGTAAAGGCCGTTTCGATTTTGGATCTACTCATCATCTGGGTGGAAAGGGTTTGCTCTGGTGGGAGTCTAAACTCACAGACACACCGTCCTCTCCTTCTGTGGTCTAGAGGGAACATGTTCTCTCTAGGGAGGAAGCTAACTCCCTTTCTTGATGTCCTTTCGTGTCGTGTTTGCAGGAGGATCAAAATGGAGATGTCAAGATGCTTGAGCTGATAGTGCATGGACTGGTTAGGTATGAGAGAGCTCTTCAAAACAGTACTTTCCCGTCAAGTCCTGGATGGGGACTGAGGGCATCGAATGGTGTGGCAAGCGCTTCGCGAGGGGCTGGCAGAGGAGGAGGGGGTCGAGTAGAAATGATGGAGAGCCCGTCGCCTGCCCGGCCTGCACTGCTCTATGAAGAAGAAGAAGAAGAAGCTGAGCAGCACATGAGAGATGAACATGCAGGTGAGGGTGGTGAGTCACCAGGATGGGGAAAAGAGAACCTGTGGAGAGGGAATGGTGTTTCGAATGGAGAGGCGAATGGGCATGCCGCTCCTGGCCAAGCGGTTGAGAATGGGGGCGATGAAGTGGTAGAGAACAGAGGTAATTGTGTGGAAGCAAATGGAAATGAGGGGTTGCCACTGGTGTGTTTCAAGGGGGAGAGCAGTATGAATAATAAGAAGCCAAAGAATAGCAAGAAAGGGATTGAACTAGCGATTGTGAGGAGTCCTGCAATGCGAGTGCTGCCAACAAGGCAAGCCAAGCGGAATGGACTGGACCCAGGCCCTTCGAAGGTGTTGGTGGAGATAGATTCGGATTCTGAGAGTTAGTAACCCTCCGGTTTAAGGTAAGGTTGGGCTGTGCATGCAAAACCTGGCGGGCCAAAACGCAAAGTTTTGAAAACACTGAAAATACATTACACAAATGAAAATATCATCCAGATGAAATCCTTTTTTTTTTCTTTGGACCATTTCTCAATTTATGTGTGTCATCCTTGCACAGGGGCCATGCTACTGTTCTCTGTATCATTCCAACTTTAACGGATGTCCCGAAGGACACAGATGAAAACTTCGAAAGTAAAAAAGTACAAAAAAGTACAACTATGTATATGTGTGTCTATGTTTGGTGGGGGGGGGTTGGATGGGTGAGTGGGCGGGTACGTGCATGAGTGGGTGGGTTGGTGGGTGAGCAGGTGCGTGCGTGAGTGCATGTGTGTGTGTGTGTGTGTGGGTGGGTGGGTGGCGGGCGCACATGAGTGCTTGTGTGTGAGTGGGTGGGTTTGTGGGTGGGCACGTGTGTCCAAAAAAAAAAAAAAAAGGATATACGAACAAGTCGAAGGATCAAGGATTGGAATGAATTCCAATGAAGGATTATATGCTTTTTTTTGTTTTTAAAATAAACGGAACATCGTGGGCAAACGTTCAGTCCTATTGTTGACAAGGAGAAAAAGAAAATAAAAAAAGAATGTCAACTGGATTGAAGACAGTATATGCTTTTGGTCTCTGTCGGGTCGTTTCTTTCTCGTCTCACAAGACGATTGAAGCCGCTAACGAGTACCAAAAGAAAAAAAGGAAAAAGAAGAAAGTGCAATCAGACTCACTTTCTTTTCCACTTCGCACTCATGCAAACAGATGGTGGATCACACTGGCGCACACTCACTCTGGATCACCCTGGATATCCCACACACATACGCACACTCTCGTACTCATACACTCGCCTATCAGCTATGGCGGATATGGCCTCTGTCCCTCTCCTAGATATGTATAACTATCTCCTTCAGCCCACTTCGTCTCCGGGCACTCTGCAGACCACCTTGCACAAGTCGCTCAAGCAGCGCTTCCGCATGGCTTATGCAGAAATCAATGAATGGCTGGACGCTGCCTCTTGATTTATACTTCAGGAAGTCGCTGGTCTGCCTCTTTCCATCGGGCCCATGGTGCAGACAGTCCCACATGGTACTTGCTGACTGGACTAAGTGAGACTGGGACTGGGTACCGCGGACGCATTTAGTAGGGAAGTGGTCCTGTTTGAGGCCAAATCCATGCCAGTGTCCACTTTCTGGCATAAGGATTTAGATAAAGGGAAAAAGTGGAAGGGTCGTACCATCTCGGGTCAGGTCAGGGCAAAGGATCACCTGATCCTTACTTTAGATGAGGGTGGTACGGACAAAGTCCCCTACAGTCAGATAGAGTGGTGGCTGGAGGAGGAAGACAGTAGTGTAGGTCAGGGGAGGACTTACGCTGCTGTCGCGGCTGGAGGGAGGCCGCAAAGTAGAGGAGGAGGCCAGGGCCAAGGGGGCCGGGCCATGGGTGGTCGAGGTACGGGCGCACAGGGGGTTGGCAGCCAAAGGAACCGCCAAGAGGGAGGTAGGGGTCACGGTCCCCCGCCGAATCGTTCGGGGCCTAGTGGGTCACCACAGCGTCGAGGTGGAGGATCCCCTCAACGGAGAGGAGGTTGGCACCCAGGTTGGCCACAGGGCCGGCCTTGGGAAGATCTGGGCTTGGACCAGAGAGTGTGGCAGCAGCGAATGGAGCAGGGGCAGTGCATCTAATGCGGTGACCCTGCCCATATTATTAAGTATTGTCCAAAGTATAGAGAAGCCCAATTTGCTGCCTAGAGGTCAAAAGGCAGCCGCCGGTAGGGGTTGCAACTGCTCTTACCATTAGGCCATGTGGGGAAGTGTGCGCGCACCACCAGGAAACTCCAACACCACATGAGCCTATGGCAGAGGTTGCAGGCCAATGCCTAGTTAGCTGTCTAGAGACTGCCTCTGTGTTAGAGTTTCTCTAGGCACTTCCCTCACAGGTCTGGCAGAAGAGTTGAAAGAAAGGATGCCGGCCTGGGCCAAGATGAAGAAGGAGAGCAAAGGACAGCTTGTGTTCGTAGATTTAGAAGTTTTTAGAAGCAGAGTAGGAACCCTTATAGACACGGGCTACTCGGAGTTATATTAGCTGAAAAGCGCTGAAGAAGCCGAGGCTAGGTCTTAAAGTCCAGAAGTTGGAAGACCCCATAGTATCCTCGTAGACAACCGCACGATGCGTGTTGAGGATTACGTTGAGGGAGTCCAGGCGTATCTTCGCCTAGAGAAGGGTGGCAAGGTAGAGAAAGTACTCCATTCCCTGACTCTCGTTGTAGAGGACAAACTCGCTTTCGATATAGTCCTAGGTATGGACTGGGGAGAGGAAGCAGGGGCCACACTTCACTTGAGTCTAGGCTCCCAAACCCATCAGGAGAAGTTAAGACTGCTCGCCTGTTTCATGTGTCAGGAGTAGACAACTCCCTGGCACATTGCTGCCTCAGTGCTCCCGCGTTCGCGCGATTAGTGAGGAAGGAGCAGTTAGAAGAGCAGGTCTTCGTAGCTTACGTGAGGCCTGTCACTAAGCCTACTGAGGAGAAGCCAATAGACCTAGCCATTGCCAAGCTGCTGGATGAGTTCAAAGATTTGGCAGAGCCGCCAACAGGGGTAGTACCGCGGCCAATCCAGCATCGAATCGAAATAGAGCCTGGCAGTAGAACTCCTAAGGGTGCGGTTTACAGGATGTCCCCAAGGGAGTTAGAGGAGTTACGTAAGTAGTTAGGCGAACTCCTTGAAAAGGGTTGGATTAGGCCCAGTTCGTCTCCTTTCAGAGCACCAGTTTTGTTTGTCCCCAAAAAGGAGGGAGAGTTGCGTATGTGCATGGAGCTGATGTCTGCCCGCTTATGTCCTTGTTTTGGTCACGGAAAAAGGGGGAAAAAAAATGAACGGGAAACAGCGGGCAGTACAATATGGCTGGCGGATGTGCGAGATGGTGGGCGGTAAGATATGAAGGAGGAGGAGGAGCAGGAGGGAAGAAGAAGACAAAAGGAGGGGGAGGAAGAGGAGGAGGAGGAGAAGAAGAAGATGAAAGGAGGAGGAGGAGGAAGTGAGGAGGAGGAGGAGGAGGAAGTGAGGAGGAGGAGGAAGAAGAAGAAGAAAGGAGAAGGGGGACGAGGGGGAGAGAAGAAGAAGATGA